AAAGATAGTGTAGTTAGAATGCAAGTATAGGGAACATGGATATTGAACGAGGAACCTAACAGAGTTATTTTTATTTTATTTATTCGAAAGAGATAAAAGTAACACGGGAATATGTAATTTGTCCTACAATTCCTACTTATCCTTTTGACGAAAGCTAAAATTCTAACCGATTTTCTTTAGCTTCTTCCATTTTGAAAGCTAATATTCCCTTCAAAGTAAGAAATCGACATAAATAATCTTCTATGCCTCAATCACAAATTAGTTGAGGTCAGCTACATGAATCCTTTGAGTAATAGTTCCTATTCAGTCCATTCAGTAGAAATGATCTACTATGCACATAATCAGAAAAATTACTATCCAGTCATATAGTTTACTGCAGCAACAGGAGAGTATTTCTTTTTGATGAACATGGAGAAAGATAACTTTTTTTAGGGGTGGAAAGTACATGGATTGCCATTCACATTCTTATTGCTTATAACTTGAGGAGGAGAAGGAAGACATGAATTAGCTGGGTTTTTTTTTTCTACAAAGGAATGATGGAGGATCTAGATCTTTTACTTAGTCAAAGAAAACAGCCCTCCAAATACTGCACTAATATGTTAATCGTGCCGTAAGAAGGTTTTCAGGAGTAAATGGGCAAACCTGGCAGTCTTATAATATTTAGAACAAGAAGATAGATAGGAGCAAACATTACATGTGCGATACTTGAGAAGCAGCCCATCCCACATTGAAGATTGCAGCGAACACACTGTAACCAATAGTTTGCAGCATGGCCGAATCAGAACCAATAAGTTTGCAAGGCAAGCAACCGCCAAACATGGAAGAAAATGAGACAGCAACCAAGAGAGATCCTGCAATATGCCATACTTCAAAATGCCCAAATCTGTCTATCTATCAGGTAGAACAACAAATATTAGCTAGAAGGTTCAATAATAAAGAAAAAAAATAAAGGTATGCACTATTATCTGGGGATAAGAGGCGTAATTGTTATTACTCCTGAAAAGACTATGTGCTGTTCTCATGTCAAAAATTACTTATTGCATTTAACTAACCAATATATAATAAAGAAAATGGCTGCATAAATAATATATTTGGAATACTCATACAAGAAAAACTATACATTTTATAATAGACAAACATATGTTTAGATGAGAAATCGTGAAAATGGTTGAGCATGTTTTCATCTATCAACGACTTCATAATCTCTTTTAGGAAATGATATTAAAATGTCTTAACATGTTTTTCTTAAGTCATCTAATCCACCTTCCAGAAAAATATAATAGATGCTTTAAAACTCAGTAGGTGAAATAAGGACAAAGTTTAGGTAGTAGTTACGTTCTTGAGAGATACCAGTTCCCCAGCAAATATAGTAGTCAATCCATCTGCAACTTGACCTGAGAGCATTACAACTGCAGCATCACTGAGAAACAGACATGGTATACATGAATACACAACCAATTGCTTCACAAACTACGGTATCCTATACAATACCCTTTTCTTTTGAGTTTAATTTGGAGGGGAACGGGGTAATGAAATGCGAGGACATTGGAGTGTAGAAGTCACATGCTTGACAAATTGGGGAGAGTGTAGTAGTGGATAACATGAGGACGAAATCACACTATTAGAATTGAGATCCCGGTAACGAGCCCTTTAAATGTCATTATACAATGTTAGTTACATGCGGCATGCTAACAGCAGCATGACAGGGCAGTGCTCAGTTCAATTCTCATATGCCCATCCTGAGTGTTGTATAGGCTGGCTGCAGATATACCCTATGGTTGTATACAAAAAATGAAACCAGTCTTTCTATTTAACTAACTAGAACTAAGCGCCTAGTACACTCCATTGAACTCATAACATTCACACAACACACTCTAAAGTACATAACGTTGTGGTAAGCATTAACTCAAGAATTGTGAAAAAGGTAGCCTATGTTAGATTGCTATCAGCAGACGAGCTACGTCAGAATACAGTAAAAGAGGTACATGATAATTTAAAGATGCAGGTGCCACAAAGTGGTTTCTATCCTTACAAATCTTTAAAAAGATTAAACACATCCCTTGATAACTAAAGCATTTCCTGCAAATCCCCTCATATCAAAAACCCTCAAATCACATAATTTTTTCCATGAAACCCCACGTATCCATGTAATCGCAGAAAAACTATCTAAATCAAATCATTAACCATTTTACTTATTTAATGATCCAAGAAGAAAAACCCCAAAAAAGAAATCACAAAACCCATCTACATTTACACAAATTTAACCAAGAAACCCCATACCCAACATTCAAAAAAGTGAAATATCGACCCAGTAATCAAAAAAAGAAGATAAAACCCAGTAATCCAATTATTTTCTTGCACTAATAAACAGAGACCAAAAGAGAGAAACACTCACAAGTTTGGAGGAATGAGAAATCCATTACGAGCAGATACAGTTGTATAAATTCGAGATATTAGAAATTTCCGGCCTGATTGTTCTCCAACCCCGATGAATCCGCCACCATTGCTTGTCTCTTCGTCACCGCACTCGAAACTGACGAACACCTATTGTGGGTCATCGTCATTTCCTCTTTACAATGTAAAAAATCGAAAAACTAACAATTTTCCATCACCTTCTTCCTCAAGAAAACAAGAAGAAGAAAAAAAAGAAAGAAAGAGAAGAAGAAAGAAAGAAAGCCGTTATTGTGAGAAATGAAAAATGTGAAGTAATATATACCGATATAGTAGCGGTCAAAGTTGGGCCTGTTTGAATTCGACTTCATATGAAGACACGTAAGGAATGGAATATGTGAGATTATACTATTTTTAGTAAATGTGGATTGCGTTTAAATTAAAGTTAGACGGAGAATTTATATGAAAATGGGCGTTAAAAAATGGTGTTAGTATATGTGGTGGTTTCCCAACATATTAAATGCGGAAATGGGTATTACATTTTTGTTTGTAAGTATACGTGTTGGTTTCTCAATTCATTATGAAGGTTCACATAAAATTTTTTGAAAAAAAGATTGGTGCTTTGAAGCATTAGATCTATATGCTAACACGTACAAAAAAAATCGGAGTTCGGGTAATTCCTAAAAAAGGACATAAATACGGAAATGGGCGTTAAAAAAATAATGTCAATTTACGTCGTTGTTCCCCATCTCATTACGGAGGTCTTTATAAAGTATTTTGTGTGAATGTTTTGGGTGCTACGGAATGTCACATCTATAGGCTAATACACACGAAAAATTGAGAAAATTGGATCATCGTTCCATTGAACAACCAGGTCAACTATAATGCTCACCTACTCAACACTTCGTTGTAAAATCAATATCATATATGTATTAAGAAATCTACTGAAAATATCTGTGACATTTGACTACGAATCAGTTACTAGTCTACTGCATATTAATAATAAAATCTTGATATAATGTTCTCTCTAATTAACATCGTTCAAAGTTTGATTTATTAACCTCTGCGTGATATCTTGTTTTTTCGATCCTAATATAATGAACTCAGGATCTTAATTTTAGTTGAGATATAAAGACTTCTGCAAATGTTATCGACAGTAGCGTCCAAAGTACAGAGTAGAACTTAATAGACATTTTTTCCTACGAGCAGGCTTGAATAGAGCTTGTGGTTGGTTTGGTCCTCTCACAACTTGAAAGAGCCCAAGTAATGAAAAATAACTTGGGATAAACAAATTGCTAATATAGAGTGAACCATATATATGGGGTATTCAAGAACGCATTATTTGCCAAGATATTCATAAAGCTCATAGTGTCAGAGTAGCAATCACATAAATTGAATCAGTACAATGCAGTAGTATCGGTACATCATTTACACTTTCCCATCTGTTAAGGTGTATTCTAACCGCTATTTATTCATTCTTACAGTTCCTTATCGGTTAAGGAGCCTCATGCAACGATTGAAGCTCTCAAGCATGCCAGCCACTTGTACCCGAACAAAATGGACCATTACAGCTGGTAAATGGAACAAGTTGGTGCATGCGCGATTTACATAATCCACTTCTCCGTAAAGAGAATCATTCATCACTTCTTTGCTATATACCGAAATGAACAACATGTACAACGCTAGCAAAGACCATACCTATGAGACAGGCAAATTTAGAATTAGAGTTTATCGAAAGTAATGAGTTCATTGAACTGCTGATATGTACTTATAACAATGTTCATAGAAAACGACGGCTTATTACTTGCACCATCCATCGAGCACTGTGGCCACCAAAGATGTCAGAAGCAAAGGCAAACCAAAAGAACATTAGGATCACCAACCACCAACAGTTACACAGGCTCCTGTCCCTTATTAACAGGGATCTCACCCAGAAAGTGCCAAAGTCTATTGTTGTACATGCCAAAATGTTGATGACAAAGCTACAGAACAAAATATGATTACGAACATTGCAATTCAAAGGCTATTCAAATGCATAAACTCCAAATCAGGATACATTTTGCTATTTGCTCGAAGAGAACAGATTGATTTCGGTTATGTCAATCCATTCAGTCCAATCCCCTTATTACGTGAAACAGAGAAGAAGCACTGGATGTTACAAGTTATGTATTCAGAGTTTATAGCCTATTAACAAACTAAGACACACAAAGCTATTCATATTGCTCAATTTCTCTCGCATTCATAAAGTAAGCCGACACTGTGCAAGCCTAACTTCTTATCTACAATAGCCATTACGGTACTAACTTTCATAACTATCCAGGTTGTATGATAACTATGTGATCATAATAGCCACTTTTATCTAACTTCAAGAACGCCACGGAGAATGATGACTGTCTCATGCCATCAGTTAATCCGATTCCAATACCCTTGTCTTGTCTAATAGAATGATCTCTCTATTTCTGGATTCAGAGTAGAACTACCGATAATTATAACTAAGGATAAGAAGTAACCAATCCCCCCTCTATGTATGTTATAAAAAGCGATGAAATTCAAGTTCCTTACAACAGCAGAAATCTGAATATTTACATCTTTTGAGGCTTACCCTTGATCAATTCCGAAGAGATATTTGGTCAATAGGCCAATGGAAGCCCCTATAAAAAAGGCACCAGTGATCAACAAGCAGACCCTCTTCTTCTGCAGAGTTAGAAGATTCGATATTAAAAGAAGCAAATTTAACAACAATTCACCAATTTAAACGTAAATTGATCACGTACTCTTTCTAATGGCGGTGTAGTGAAAAGGAAGAAAATAGTTCCAGAAGCAATAAGAAGAGTGAACAAGCCCCCGATGTTCCAGATATAATGGAAGGAGGATCCAACAGTAGAGCTCAACAGGGTACAGAAAAGGGTACAATACATCTGTATTATCATCAAAAGCTAATGAACATTTGAAAAAAAAGAGACAAAAAAAGCGAATCGATTTCCTGACAAATACAAACGCTAAATCAACTCATCGATAACCTGAAAAAATACGCAAAATAACACTATTTATCGGGCAATACTATACTCTTGAGATTTCACATCAATCAATAACAAGATCATAATAATGAAAAATCCAAAACAGAGACACAACAACTTCAAGAACAAAAATTCTCACATATTTCAAGTGTTTGTGAATATGTGGGTAAAGGTATCCTGTATTCTTCATGTCATCTATTCTCCAACCCCTATTGAAGTAAGCTCTCACAGCATTCATTTCTTCTTCTTCTTCTTCTTCGCCTCTGCAAAATTCTTTTTTTTTTTGCAGAGAGAAAATGGAATCAGAAAAGTGTTTGTAGTTTGTTATACAGAGAAGAGTTTGTTACTACCCTTGCTGTTACTCTTTGTGGGAATATTTACGCTTCTACCTTTCAGTTATGGGATGAGTTTTGTGAATATCGCAGGGGTGTTTTTGTCAATTTAATCAAGAGAAAGAATCCTCATGTTCAAATCATTGGCGGGAAATATTTATAAAATTTGCAGTAAATTTGTGCTAAATTTTTCTATTGAGATAGAGTGATTTTGTCGTTATAATATTTTTTTCAAAGGCAGAATAATCTATAGATCCTAAACTTATTAGTAAATTTTATTTAAATACTCTAATTACGACATGTTCTAATGAAGCATATGAACATACACTCTTAATGCTCGAAT